AAGAACTAACACCTGTCCTCAAACTATTAAAAAAAACTCAAGATGAAGGAAGTCTTCTAACCTCATTTCACAAGGTCAGTGTTGTCATAATCTCAAAACCAGATAAAGACTTTACAAAGAAAGAAAACTATAGGCTAATTTCTCTGATGAGCAGAAGCAAAGTATTAGTAAACTGAATTCAGCAATATATTAAAAAGATTATACACCATGATCAAGTGGGATTTATTCTTGGGATGCAAGGTTGGTACAGTATTTGCAAACCAATTAACATGATACACCAGCTACACAAAATGAAGGATAAAAATCATATGCTTATATCAATAGATACACAAAAACATTTAACAAAATTCAGCACTTATTTATGGTAAAACCTTTCAGCAAATACAGAGAACATATAAGGGAACAAAGGGAACATACCTCACCATAAAAAGATCATATATAAAACCAACACCTAACATACTTAATGGGGGAAAACTAAACATGTTTCCCTTAAGATAAGAAGACGGGGATGTTCACTTTTACCGGTCTTGTTCAACATAGTTTTCTAAGTCCTAGCCACAGCATTCAGATAAGAAGAAATAAAAGACATCCTGATTAGATAGGAAGAAGTAAAATTGTCATTATATGCAGATGATATGACACTATGTACAGATATCCCTAAAGTTTCCACCTAAAAACTACGAGAAGTGATAAATGAATTCAATAAAGTAACAATACAAAACAAGTATTCAGAAATCAGTTGCGTTTTTATGTACTGCTAATATCAAAAAGGGTAACTAAGAAAAAAAGTGTCACATGCAATTATATCCAAAAATACCTAGGAATAAATTTAACCAAGGAGGTAAAAGACCCATACTCAGAAAATTATAAGACATTCAAAAAAGATATTGAAGAAGATACAAATAAATGGAAGCATATACTGTGCTCATGGGTAGGAAGAATTAATATCATTAAAATATCCTTATTACCCAAAAAGAATATGTAGATTTAATGCAATTCCTATCAAAGTACCCATGGCATTTTTTTCACAGAATGAGAACAAATAATCCAACATTTATATGGAATTATAAAAGATTTTGAATAGGTACAGCAATCTTGAGAAAGAAAAACTGTTGGAGGTATCATGCCACCTGATACCAAACTACTGTAAGGCTGTAGTAACTAAAAGAGCATGGTACTATCATAAAAACAAACACAAAGATCAATGGAACAGAATAGAGAGCCCAGAAATTAATATATATGTTCAGTTAATACATAATAAAAGAGGCAAGAACATACAGTGAGATAAAGACAGTCTGTTCAATAAACGGTGTTGGGAAAATAGGACAGATACATGAAAAAAAATGAAACTAGACCACCTTCTTACACCATATACAAGAAAAAACTCAAAATGGATTAAAGACTTAAATATAAGATTCAAAATAATAAAACTTGTAGAAGAAAATACAGGCAGTAAATTGCTATTTCTCTTAGAAATATTTTTTGTTTATATGACTTTTTGGGCAAGGGAAATAACAAAAATAAAATGTTTTCACACAGCAAAAGAAACCATCAACAAAATGGAAAGAACCTAATGAATAAGAGAAGATATTCACCAATGATACATCTGATTAGGGGTTAATATACAAAAGTTATAAGGAACTCATACAACTCAACACTTACAAAAAAAACTAACCCAATTAAAAACTGGATGAAAGACCTGACTAGACTCCTCTTCAAAGAGGCCAGTAGACATATGTAAAGATGCTCAGTGTCACTAATCATCAGAGAAGTGCACCTCACACTTGTCAGGCTGTCATTAATCAACAAACAACAAGTATAGATGAGGATGAGGAAAAATGGAAACCTTCGTGCACTGCTAGTGGGAATGTGGATTGGTGCAGCCACTATGGAAAAGAGTATGGAATCTCTTCCAAAAATTAAAAATAGACTTTCCTTAGGACACAGCACTTCCACTTCTGGGTATATATCCACAGAAACCCCAAACAGTCATTCAGAAAAATATATGCACCCTTATATTCATTGCAGCATTACTTACAATAGCCAAGATATGGAAGCACTCTAAGTGCTTCTCAATAGACAAGTGGATAAAAAAGTGGTAGTACACCTTTAACTGGAACCTAATCAACAAAAGAAAAAAGCAAGCAAAATATAACCAGAGACACTGAAATTAAGAACAATCTGACAGTAAACAGAGGGGAGGTGGGAAGAGATAATGGGAGAAAGGATTTTCAGCAACAGTTACAAAGGACACATGGACAAAACCAAGGGGGGGATGGAAGCAAGGGGGGAAGGTGGGTTTGGCTGGGGTGGGGGGAAAATACAGACAACTGTAATTGAACAACAATAAAATAATTTAAAAAATAATAATAAATTTTAGTAACTAAAAAAATGGTGGTACGTATATTACAATGAATATTAGTCATAAAAAAAGAGTGAAATTTTACCTTTGTGATGATATGGATAGACTAGGGAGTATCGTGCTAAGTAAAGTAAGTCAGAGAAAGACAAGTTTCATATTATTTATATGTAGAAGTTAAAGAGCAAAATAAACAAAATAGAAACAAACTGGATCAAAACATTCTTCATATCCATGGTTCTGTCTCTGTTCTTGTTTGCTGTTTGTTATGTAGATTCATTTGTTGATAGATAAGTATTTATTGCTATTTTATTGTTCATAGTTTTGATGTTCTTTTTCTTAAATAAGTCCCTTTAACATTGCATATAATAATGGTTTGGTGATGATGAACTCCTTTAGTTTCCTCTTGTCTGGGAAGCTCTTTATCTGCCCTTTAATTCTAAAGGATGGTTTTGCTGGTTAGAGCAATCTTGGCTACTATAGGTCCCTGCTTTTCATGACTTTGAATATTTCTTGCCAATCCCTTCTAGCCTGCAAAGTTTCTTTTGAGAAATCAGCTGACAGCATTAGGGAATTCCCCTGCAGGCAACTTTCTGATTTTCTCTTGCTGCATTTATGAGTCTCTCTTTATCTTTAACCTTTGGTATTTTAATTATGATGTGTCTTGGAGTGGGTTTCTCTCCATCCATCTTGTTTGGGACTCTGTGCTTCCTGGATATGCATGTGTATTTCCCTCAGCAGCTTAGAGAAGTTTTCTTTCATTATATTTTTTTCAAACAGATTTCCAATTTCTTGCTCGCTCTTGTCTTCTGGTACCTCTATTATGTGAAGCTTGAATTGCTTGAAGTTGTCCCAGAGGCTGTTTACACTATCCTCGTTTGTTTTGGATTCTTTTTTCTTCTTGTTCTGATTGGTTGTGTTTTGCTTCCTTATGTTCCAAATCATTTATTTGTTTCTTGCCTTCATCTATTCTACTGTTGTTTCCTTATAAATTGTTCTTTATTTCAATTAGTGTATCCTTCATTTCTGACTAGATATTTTTATGCTGTTCCTCACAAAGGTCTTTGAGCAGTGTTTTAAACTTTGCATCTGATAAATTGCTTATCTTCATTTTGTTTAGCTCTTTTTCTGGAGTTTTGATCTGTTCTTCCATTTGGGCCACCTTTCTTTGTCTCCTCATGTTGGCAACCTCCCAAGGAGTTTTTTTTTTAACACATTAGGTAGAGCTGCTTTGACGCTTTGTCTTGGTAGTGTGGCCTAATGTAGTAGATGCCCTGTAGGATCCAATGGCACAACCTTCCCCATTACCCAAGCTAGGTACTCAGGATGTGTCCTTCATGTAGGCTGAGTACATCATCCTCTTGTAGTTGAGCCTTGACTGCTGTTGGCAAGTTAGTGGGAGGGGTTTACCCAGGCCAGTGGGCTGCAAGGACTGTCTGTGACCACTGACCACCTATCTCTGCCCTCTGTGGAGGATCAGTTGTGCAGAGGCAGGGTGGTGGTGCTCCAGTGTGGTCTATAGCTGTCCACTGGGTGGACAGGCTCTGGGGTTTCCTAGGTGATACAGGCCAAGGTCAGCTTCTACTTGTGTTTTGCCTGGGGCTACCCTGCATGATCTATAAAGCAATCTGATATGGCTGCTATTTGTTCTGGACTTGGAGATTCCTAGGTGAAGTCAAACTGTGCATCAGGTTGGATGCTTCTGGTGCCGGGCCTGGGGCCAATTAAAAAAATAACAATAAAAACAAACTCATAGATACAAGCTCATAGATGATTGCAGATGGCAGAGAGTTTGGGGCAGGGGCTGGGTGAAAAAGTGAAGAGATTAAGAATTACAAATTGGTAGTCACAGAATAGTCCAGGCTATGTAAAGTATAGCATAAGAAATATAGTCAGTAATACTGTAATAACTATGTATAATACCAGGTGGGTACCTGAAATATTCAGTCACTTTATAAAAGTATATGAATGCCTAACCACTATGCTGCACACCTGAAACTAATTCAAAATAATATTGAATGCAAATTGTAATTGAAAAATAAAAAAATTATTTTAAAGAAAATTAAAGTGTTTGAGGAACTCATGATTTTAGTGGAACTCACAAAAAAAATAAAGGAATAAAACAGCAGAGTCTTTTATGCCTCTTCCTGAGGAATATACATTCATTTTCTTACAGAAAAAAATAGTTTATTGGATTACAGTCATGTAATAGATTATGTGAATTCTTCTACCTCCTTTTTTAAAAAAAATTCTCACCCAAGGATATTTTTTAATTGATTGTTTTGAGAGAGAGAGAGAATGAGAGAGAGAAACATCAATGTGAGAGAGAAACCAATTCATTGTCTCACATACATACTCCAACCTGGGATCGAGCCTGCAGCCTAGGTATGTGCCCTGACTAGGAATTGAATCTAAACCTTTTGGTGTATTGGGTGATGGGCCAATTGAATGAGCCACCCAGCCAGGGCCTCTGCCTCCTTTTTTAATAGCTATCTGTTCATGTGCCTGGTTCTGCCACCATCCAGAGGTCAGAAGGACTGCCTTATTTATATCACTGAGCTTGTCACCAAGTATATGATTGATGCTTAGTAATGTTAATTGAATGAAAGAATAATGGACTTTTTCCTCTTACTGTGTGTAGGAGTTGGAGGAGCTTTAGAGAATGATGATCCTTCCAAAATGGTTATGGTATTGGCAGCTACTAATTTCCCATGGGATATTGACGAAGCTCTTAGAAGGAGATTAGAAAAAAGGATTTATATACCTCTCCCAACAGGTATGATGCATTCCCTTTACAATATCTTGTTTTTTTTTTCTTCTTGTTACCCTTTCCCCCCCTCTTAATTATTTATTCCATAACATTCTGGTTAAAGAAGTTTATAACATCACAAAACCTATTTGTAGTAGATGAGAGAACAGAAGCCAGGGTACTCTAAGTTCTTTACATTCAGAGCAGTGTTCGTGTTAATAAATTAGGTAGGACATCTAAGGGTTTTTTTTTTTTTAAGATTTTATTTCTTTATTTTTAGAGAGGGGAGGGAGAAAGAGAGAGAGAAATATCAGTGTGCTGTTGCTGGGGGCCTTGGCCTGCAACCCAGGCATGTGCCCTGACTGGAAATCGAACCTGCGATGCTTTGGTTTGCAGCCCGCACTCAGTCCACTGAGCTACACCAGCCAGGAGACATCTAAGTTTTTAAATTTTAATCTTGAGTCTTTATTAAACCTTAAGTGTTTAAAAATAAAGTTTTCTTGAGATCCTTTTCAAAATATGCTGCTTGAAAAGTATTTTCTCTTATTGATGAATATAGAAATTGTCATAAGTGAATTTTTCTTTTTATATTGAGATATACAGGGAAACATATAAATCTTAGTGTATAATTTGATGAGTTTTAACAAATGAATACTCCTGTTTAATTATTATCCTACTCAAGATGTAGGACATTTCTGTTTCCCCAGAAAGTTTTTGTGTGCCTCCTACCAATTACTATAAACCCTCCTTTACTTTCCTGATTTTTATCACCATGGGTTAATTTTACCTATTACTAAATTCCATATAAATAGAATCTGACATATGTACTTGTCTGTTTACTTTCACTCAACATAATGTTCTTTAGATTTATCCATGTGGTTACATGTATCAGCAGTTTATCCATGATATCATACTACATTTTGTTTATTCTCTTTTTGGTGGACATTTGCGTTTTTTTTCTAGGCTTTGGCTATTATGAATGAAGCTATAAATATTCTGTTTATTTGTGCATGTTTTCAGTTCTTTTGGGGAATGTAGATAAGAATAGAATAGGTGGATTGTAGTGTAGGTGTATGTTTAACTTTGTAACACCCAAACTGTTTTCCTAAGTGTTTGTGCCATTTCATATTTTCCTCATCAATAAATGAGACTGTGGCTTCAAGATAGTCAGATTTTACACATGGTAGCTCAGGGCTCCAGGTGTGATTGTTCCCCTGGAAAAGGAGCAAGGTGCATTATTACCTAGCCTTCCTCTAGGCTGAGGTATTTACAAGCCCAGCCATTTTCAGGAGGAGGGGAATTGAACTGCCTTTAAGTGGGAGAGTGGCAAGTCCCCCTTGTAGGAGCATGTGTGGGATAGAGAAACTCTAGCAGTCATCTTGTTAAATTCAGTCTTACATGGTCAATGAAAGGCAGGAAGTCAAGTAACCGGACAGGTGGAGCTTGGCCTTATCTTAAGTCTCTTCTTAGTTCTTGCATCTAAATATGGCAGTATCTACCTGGTCAGCCTAATGGACTCCTTTCTCTAGACCCCTTTATTTGATTCTGTTTTGCTTTTAGACTAACCTCCATAACTACCAAGGCATCATCAAGTCTCATATTTCCTCTCACATGGGAGTCAGAGTTTTCTTTTGTTTTTTTTTTCCTGCAAGTTCACATCTTTGCTCTCCTGCTTGTGTCATTTGCCTTTTGTAGTGTTCTGTTGCACTTTTCTACTGACCTTTTTTCACTCTGGTATATGTTTGCTTCTTTCTACTTCCATTATTTATGATGCTCCCATTCCCTAGATTTTTTTTCTTCCCTTCCATTTAAGTTTTATTATTTTTCAAAGTCAACATTAAACTTTTGATTCTAAGGTCTTCTTTGCCCTGGCCTGTCTCCCTGTGTGGACTCCATGTCCCTGGGTACTTCATCCATGTTAATTGTCTCCCAGATGTTGCTTTGTAGAAGGAATCTGGGTTTTCTTAGTCTCCCTATATTCCTGTTTGTTGACTGATTAATGGTGGTGGCGATAGGACTACAGACATTTGCTGAATGTTGACTCTGGGCCAGGATTTCAGTGTATTAGCTCATTTAACTCCAGCAGTTTTACGAGGTAGATTCTGTTCTTGTCTTTATTTTACTATGAGGAAACTAAAGCACTGAGAGTTAAACATCCTGCCCAGGGCAGCAGAACAAGGACATGAGTACAGTCTGGCCCCAGTGCACCGTTATCCACTTCACTGAGCTGCCTGGAGTGCATAAGGAGAATTGTTATCACAGTGTTTGTTTACATCTAGAATGTGTGTTAACTTGGCTTTGTAGAAGTGGCAGATCTTTATACTATTAACACATTAACCCTTCATTATATCCTTTCACAAGGCTATTACATATCATTAATTCAGGTTATAAAACTGAAGTTGAAGTATAAAAACTGAGTTGATAAATCCTAGTTAGAACCTTTTAACAAATCACTGATACAACCAGTACTAAAAGTTAATTTTTCCCAAATCACAGTTATTAGGGAAAAGGGGGACGCTTCCATCTAGGCTTTAGACCACCAGGCTCTCACTTATGAACAGGTTTATGCTACAAAGTTCATTTAAGTTATCTGTGTAGAACTTCCTTTGGGGGAGAGTACATTGCATTAAACTTGGTGTTGAAGTTCTGATGGCAGGTGATAGTAAAACATTTGCTTTACAAATACAGTGGCTTTCTAACATTGGTACTAAATGAGCAAATTGATAATCGCTCACTAAGTCAACTGCTTTGTGTAGGGCACAATGAAATGAGTTCTCAATTCAGAGCTCCTATGGGGTGTTAGGAGTACAGCTTTCTTCTGTAGCAGGGGGCTCTGGAGCTTCTTCCCCTCCCCTCTTTCTTCCCATACCTCTGCTGACCACCTGAGTAGAGGAGTTCTTTGGTCCTATATCTGCCACGTACCATGGTGAGCTGCAAGGAGGGCTCATTGGCAAGGGATGGCCAAAGATAGGAAGCTCCCAAGATTAAGGAATTCTAGAAATAAAGGTTTGTTAGTCACACCTTTTCTTTTTCGTCACTCCAGACAATACCTGGTTGTTTCTTATTCCACTGTGGCTGCTCTTTGCTTTGCTTTGTCTTACTTTATGTGCTCACCCATGCGTGTGTGCGTGGGTGTGTGTGTGTGTGTGTGAAATATTACTCAGATGCAGAAACACAGATTAAAATACTTAATTTATACAATATTTGGCAAAGCAAACAACCATATAACCACCTCCTAGGACAAGAAATGGAGCATTGTCAGAACTCAGAATCTCCCCAGTATGTTCCTTCCCTAGCACAACTCTCTTCCTGCCCCCAGCAGTAATCACTGCTATTCTTTTTATGGAAATAATTTATTGTTTTTCCTTATAATTTTATCACCTAATAATGTATCCCCAAACATATTTTTACCTCCTGTGGAACTTGACATAAATAAAATCACAGTAATTGTGTTTATTTGTATCTTGCTGCTTTTGCTTAGTATATTTTTCAGATTCATCCATGTTGTGACATATAGATGGAGATTATATTTTTCCTGTGTGGTATTCTATTGCATTAGTATTCTTCTGAGACCACCCTAACAAAGTACCACAGACTGGGGGGCTTATATAATGGATGATTATTTTCTCACAGTTCTTGAGGCTAGAATCCAAGATCAAGGTGTCAGCAGAATTGGTTTCATTCTTGGGCCTCTTTTTTTGGCTTATGGATGGCCGTTTTTCCCATTGTCTTCATGTGGTCTTCCCCTAATATATGTGTCCAAATCTTCTCTTACGAAAACAGATATGAGTGGATTAGGGCCCACCCATATGACTTCATTTTATCTTTAATCACCTCTTTTAAAGGCATCATCTCCAAATACAGTCACATTCTGAGGTGCTAGAGGTTAGGACTTCAACACAGGAATTTGGGGGGAGGATACACTTCAGCCCACAACAACCATTATGTCATTATACCACAGTTATACATCATATTACTTGATGGGCATTTTGATTGTTTTAAGTTTTATGCTGTTATGAACAATGCAGCTCTGAACATTCTTATGCTGCATAGTAGTACAGATGCCTAAGCTTCTCTGGGCCAGGGCAGAACATTCCCTTCTGGGAGTGAAACGGTAGGTTGTGTCGCATCTCTGGAGCATCAGGAGGTAATCCAGTCTGTCTTCCTGAGTGGTCACTCCAGCTTCCACCCCCGCCAGCACTGTGTGAGAATTCTTGTGGTTTCATATTTTGCCAGCACATGGTATTGGCAGACTTTTAAATTTATACCAGTGTCTTGGTATAAATTATTGTGGCTTAGTTTATTTTTCTTTTATTATTAAAGAATTAAATATCTTTTCTTTTATTTATTGGCCATTGGATTTTGTAGTGAATTTTATGTGTTTTTACTGTGTTATAGTGTCTTTTGATAAATAGGAATGCTAATTTTAATGTGATTAGGTTATCAATCTTTTGTAGTCTGTTTCTTGAATATGTGTCTTAAGAATCCCTCTGTGAGGTCATTAAGATGTCTTCCTGTTTTACCTTCTAAAATGCTTATAATTTTGCATCTTAGTGTTTAGATTAGTAATATATCTGGCACTGATTTTTTTATGTACATGTGAGGTAGGACCCAGCTTCATTTTTGCCTGTGGATAGTCAGTTGTTCTGGTGTGATTTATTGAGAAGACACTCCCTCCCCCCACCAACTGCCTACACCACCTAGTCCTAAATCAGGTGTGCACAGTAAATGCTCTGACATGCCATGCTTCCAGGCACCTATTTTATGTCATTGATCTGGTTGTCTCTGCAAGAGTATCACACAGGCGCAAATTTTACTGCTTTTGACAGGGAAGTTTCGCCCATTTTGTTGCTGTTCTTCTAGTGTCTTGGTTGTTCTTGTTTCTTTTCATTTCCATAAATTTTAGTTGGTTCCACAAATGGGCGTGTTCGGGTCTTTATTGGAATGCCTTGGCTCTGTAAGATCACTTGAGGGAGAATTGTCAGTGTTATGAAAGACAAAGAAAGAATAAACACTGTGGAACTGTTTTAGATTAAAGAAAAGTAAAGAGATATGATGACTAAATGCAAAAGTATGGGTTTTAAGAAAGTTATAAAGTTCTGGGACAAATGGGGACATTTTAATCTGGATTGTATATTAGGTGATACTAATGTTACCAGAGTTAAATTTCCTGATGAGTGTGATAACTGCATTGATACTTCTGTTGTTAGTATGTGCTGAATTTAAGATGAAGTGTTGTATATCTACAGCTAGCTCTTAATTCAAAAAAGGGTGGAGAGGAAAGGAAAGAAGGGAGTGGTAATGGCAAAATGGTGACAATTGATGAATCTACATGAAAATTAAATAGCTGTTTATTGAGGTTTTTAATTACAGATTTAAAAATTTTCAAAGTAAACATTGGGGAAAATTAGATTTCATTTTATATGTCAGGAAGTGGGAGAGAGCCAGCTCCAGGCTAATTATGCATTATTTTAGTGTGCTGTATTAAGCAGATTTGCCACTTAAATTGATGGTAAAACATCAAGCATGATTGCTTATTTAAAAAGTTATGTGGGTTTTTCTTGAGCTTTCTCAATCCACATTTTAGACATACTGGAACAGCAATGTCTGTGGGCTGGCTCTCCAGGTAAAACATACATTAATAAGCATTTTGTGCCAATTACAGCTTTCCAGAAAAAGAAAATTGGATTTAAAAAAAAATTACTGGCTAGAGTTGTTAACTCTTTTCCTGTATCATACTAAAGAGGTAAGCAAAGTAATTCATAGGAGTTAATCAATGCAGTCTAGTTTTATAAAACCTTTTTTTACTAAAAGCATTTCTGGTGCTTGAATACTAATGTTTTCATTTTTTATAAAAAGATCTCAGACTCATTGTTCTCATAGCAAGTATCATCACAATTTTTAAGGAAAACCTTGAGTTTCTTTCTATGTTTAGTGATTTCAACCAAGGCATGTAGGAAGTTACATAATTCCAGGAGCCATGCAGTGAATTAGAATGCCAGTGGACCCGTAGTTACTGACTCTCTTTCCTCTCCTGAATGTTAATATGTGATTTCTCATTAAAATGATTTATTTAAAAAGTGTAACATTATCAAAAAATCTTCTCACAGCAAAAGGAAGAACCGAGCTTCTAAAGATCAATCTTCGTGAGGTTGAATTGGATCCTGATATTCAACTGGAAGACATAGCAGAGAAGATTGAGGGCTATTCTGGTGCTGATATAACTAATGTTTGCAGGTATTTTTTTTAATGATCTGTGACCTCAAGGGTTAGTTATAGGATTGGCAGGAGGACTGGTCAGAAAATCTGTGTAGTTATTGGCCCTTGACATGAAAACAGCCACCCATTTCCTTGGAATGATCTCCTGTTTATCTTGTTTTTTCTACAGACCTTCATTGTTCATTGTTAAGATGAATAAGGACATGACAATATGGTCACCTTCCCTATCCTTGTAGTTTTTTAAGTCGTCGTGCCTAACTTCATAATGACTTTGACAACCTAAGGTTAATTTGGCCCCAAATTGGAGCCTGGCTGCATCAATGTAAAATAGTATCATTTAGGTTTGATTGGCATTATTTTACCATATGCAGATGAACAAAGTTGACCAGTTTAAACTGTGAAATTTCCCTTTCAATTTAGTGATACCATAATTTTAGACAAGGTACATCACTTATTGAAGATGATTTTTTTTCTTTCAGTTCTTCTCTAATGATATTTAAGTTTACATCAATGGTCTTTCTTTAAAACCACAACTGTGTTTCACACTTTTTTATTGGTATTTTTCCTCTGTGCATTTAAGTTTAGTGGCACACAATAAGTTCAAAATAGTTTTTAATATCATTGTTTAAAATATAAAAAATGTGAAGTTTTGTTTGGCTTGGTATCCTAATAGCTTTTTCATAAGCACTAATTGTCCATTTTTCCAAAACCTTCATAGTGATTTACAAGTGACCAGAATGGGCTTAAAAATTGGATCTGGAGAAAAGTCAGATTTTTTTTTATCCTTTAATTGCCAATAGATGCTCCATGAAAGGAATTCTACGTCTACTGTATGCAGATAAAAGCATGTTGTAGAGAGAGGTTCCTGGCTTTACCTCCTCTAATTAGACTGCAGCAGACAAACCAGTGTAAGATTTGAATTATCTTAACATTTAGCCATATGTTCATTTCCAAGTGTACAATTCAGTATTTCAAAATTCTGCTTTGGTTTTCTAAACTTCTTGGCTGTCTTTGAGGAATAAGTGGGCAAAATAAAATTCCGTATTATCTGAGCCCAGCATGGACTTTTAGGGTTCATTCACAATGCATTTTATGTTTAAGTCATTTGCATCCCCTTTTAACCTTTCCTACACTTTCAGGATGTCTTTGAAATTAGAAAATTCTATACAACATCATAAAAACATATGACATGTCTTTTGAATGTTTTTCCTTTGTTACAACTGGAAGTGTTTACAGCATTTGCAACAATGAGTATTCACTGACTTTGGTACATTTTTAGGGATGCATCCTTAATGGCAATGAGACGGCGCATCAATGGCTTAAGTCCAGAAGAAATCCGTGCACTTTCTAAGGAAGAGCTTCAGATGCCTGTTACCAATGGAGACTTTGAGTTGGCTCTTAAGAAAATTGCAAAGTCTGTCTCTGCTGCAGACTTGGAGAAGTATGAGAAATGGATGGTTGAATTTGGATCTGCTTGAATTTTTGTCAGCTCTCTCATTCTGGTATTTTTATTTATAAAATGTGAAGAAATTCATGCATTTAAAAAATAGGTTTGGAAACTTTTCATTGGAGAGATTTTCACTTAAAGGCAAACAATCTAAAACTACAGAGTGTAAATGTAGTTGGAAAATAAGAGAAGCTTACGTAGAAAACCTGATGGTCCCTGTCACCCGACTGTGTGCATTAATATTGCAGTCCCAAACCAGGATGCCAGGACAGTGGAGGAAAGGGATAAGTATGCTATTGTGAAAGCTCGTTTACAAAAGATTTAGAAGGACCTCTCTTTCTCACATGCATTTGTTGTCTTTTGCTTTTTGTGTTTTTCTATTCTTTTCTCTAAACATGAGGGCTCTACACATGTTGACTTTTAACATCAAAACTGAGGTTGTATCAGATTGATTATTCATTAAGAACGATAGTTGTGGATTAGATAATGAATTTACTAGTTAAACCTCTAGAATTCAGCTCTTTACTGTTAGAGTCTATTATAAGGTTTGAATTTTTACCCTTCCTCCCCCCACCATTTCTTCTATTATTAGCCTTTAATCTTTTATTAAGTGCTGGGTGAGAAGATCCTCATGCTTTGGTGATTTTTGAGTCATTTTGCCAGGTCATTTCTCCAGTTGTTAGTATTTTTGCTGGTACTTCTCATATTTCACATTGGAAGGGTGGGAAGAATATTATGGTGCACTGCACTTCTTCACTCTAGACCTCTGGGTTTGTTTTCACTTTTCTTTCAATGCAGTCAAACAGATAAACCCATTATTTTTTCCAGCTCCAACATTGTTTGATTTGTGTTGAATTTGACTTTTATATTCTAAGTAAATACTTTTGTATTGTGAACAAGTCTACTCTCTTGTGACTAATGCAAAGCAAATAAAACCAAATTGATAGTTTTCCAGACAGCTTGTTTAACAGAATAGCATTGTACACAATGAGTGATGTTCATCTGAAAATTTTTTTGATTGTGCTTTGTCAAGGTTGAGAACTTGGGCACAAAATAAAAAGATTAGGATAGAAAAATGCCATGCTTTATCAGTTCAGTAGGAATTAGACTGAACGAGGCCAGAAAAAAGTAGACAACCTACATCTAATCACAAATGGAGTGAGTCCCGTGGTGTTTAAAATTACATTTATCCTATTTTGATTGGGCAGCCTATGCTTTAATGGCCAAGCTTTTAAACTTTTTATTTGATCATATCCTGACTTTTCAATTTTGGAGAGTACCTACTGGTTTAAACAAACAAACCCATGACTCTTTAGATACTTTATAAAAAACCTTTTAGTATCTTGGGAATTTTTTTTCCCTACTAAGAACTATGTAATTTACAGATAACTTAAATCTGACTAAACTCCAGTATTCATCTACTGCTATAAATTACCCACCTTCCTCTGAGGGATAGATTATAAGAATTTAAATTATAAGTTTTTTAAGATTTTAAAACCATTGTTTTATTTTAATTTGAATTCATCTTAAAAATTAGATGATAGAAGTTTCCTTTTCTTAATTTCTTTCTGCCCATTTTTATTTTTATTTATTTAATTTTTATATGTCAATTACAGTTGACATACAATATTATGTTAATCTCAGGTGTACAGCCCCTTAATTAGATATTATATAACTTACTAAGTGATTATCCCGATAAATCTAGTACCCATCTGATACCATATGTAATAATTACAATATTATTGACTCATATTCCCTATGCTGTACTTTACATTCCCATGACTATTCTATAACTGCCAATTTGTACTTCTTTTTTTTTTTTTAAAGGGGAAGGGAGGGAGAAAGAGAGGGAGAGAAACATCAATGTGTGGTTGCTTCTCAAATGGTCTCCACTGGGGACCTGGCCTGCAACCCAGGCATATACCCTGACTGGGAATTGAACCGGCAACCTTTGGTTCTCAGCCCACGCTCAATCCACTGAGCTACACCAGCCAGGGCCCAATTTGTACTTCTTAATCCCTTCTCCTTTTTTATCCATCCCCCAACCCTGATCCCATCTGGCAACCATGAAAATGTTCTCCGTATGTAAGTTTGTTTCTGTTCTACTTGTTTATTTATTTTGTTTCTTAGATTCAGTTATTGATAGAGAATGTATTTATTGTCATTTCATTGTTCATATTTTTTAATCTTTTTTTTTTAATGAAGACCCTTCCACATTTCACTCAGTACTGGTTTGGTGGTAATGAACTCCTTTCGCTTTTTCTTCTGTGGGAAGCTCTTTATCTATACTTTGACTCTACATGATAACTTTGCTGGGGAGTAATCCTGGTTGTAGGTCCTTGCTTTTTATCACTTTGAATATTTCTTGCCAACCCTTTCTGGCCTGCAAAGTTTCTTTTTTCAAATATTCTATTTATTTTTTTAAAATATATTTTATGGATTATGCTATTACAGTTGTCCCATTTTCCCCCTTTTATTCTCCTCTGCCCTGTACATCCCCTCCCACCCAAATCCCCCCCCCCCCCTTTAGTTCATGTCCATGGATCATACTTATCAGTTCTTTGGCTTCTACATTTCCTATACTATTCTTAACCTCCCCCTGCCTATTTTGTACCTACCATTCATGCTTCTTATTCTCTGTACCATTTCCTCCTCTCTCCCCCTCCAACTCCCCCACTGATAACCCTCCATGTAATCTCAAATTCTGTGATTCTATTCCTGTTATAGTTCTTTGCTTAGTTTGTTTTTGTTTTTGTTTTAGGTGTGGTTGTTAATAACTGTGAGTTTGTTGTCATTTTATTGTTCATATTTTTTATCTTCTTTCTCTTTGATAAGTCCCTTTAACATTTCATAAAATAAGGGCTTAGTGATGATGAACTCCTTTAACTTGACCTTATCTGAGAAGCACTTTATCTGTCCTTCCATTCTAAATGAGAGCTTTGCTGGATAGAGTAATCTTGGATGTAGATCCTTGCCTTTCATTACTTGGAATACTTCTTTCCAGCCCCTTCTTGCCTGCAAGGTCTCTTTTGAAAAATCAGCTGACAGTCTGATGGGAACTCCTTTGTAGGTAACTGTCTCCTTATCTCTTGCTGCTTCTAGAATTCTCTCCTTAATTTTAACCTTGGGTAACATAATTATGATGTGCTTTGGTGTGTTCCTCCTTGGGTCCAACTTGTTTGGGACTCTGAGCTTCCTGGACTTCCTGGAAGTCTATTTCCTTTGCCCGATTGGGGAAGTTCTCCATTATTTTTTCAAAAAAGTTTTCAATTTTTTGCTCTTTCTGTTCTCCTTCTGGTACCCCTGTGATTCAGATGTTGGAACGTTTAAAGTTGCCTTGGAGGTTCCTAAGCCTCTCCTCATTTTTTGGAATTCTTGTTTCTTCATTCTGTTGTGGTTGAATGTTTCTTTCTTCCTTCTCCAAACCATTGATTTGAGTCCCAATTCCTTCCTGTCATTGTTGGTTTTCTGTACATTTTCCTTTATTTCACTTAGCATAGCCTTCATTTTTTTCATCTAATTTGTGACCATATTCAACCAATTCTGTGAGCATCCTGATTACCAGTGTTTTGAACTTTGCCTCTAATAGGCTGGCTATCTCTTTTTCACTTAGTTGTATTTTTTCTGGAGCTTTGATCTGTTCTTTCATTTGGGCCTTTTTTTTTTGTCTTGGCGTACCTGTTACATAGTAAGGGGCAGAGCCTTAGGTATTCACCAGGGTGGGGAACCTGTGTTGCTGCTTTGTGATGCTATATGTGGGGGAGGGGTCCAAGAGGGAACAGTGCCTCTTGCTCTGCTCTCTGCCAGTTTTCAATCACTTCCCCTGCCACCCACAATCAAATTGGGCCTCCTGGTGCTGATTCCCAGGTGGATGGGTTTGTGTACATTTTAGGACCCTAACGGGGTCCTAAATGTGGGTCTCTCCAACGAACTCTCCTGTGAGGCTGGGAGTTTCTCCCGCTGCCATCTCAACCCCTGCAGGTGTTTTCAGTCAGAGGCTTTGAGGCTTTATTTCCCCACACTGGACTCCTGGGTTTCAAGGTCTGTCTCCCTCCTCAGTTGTTCCTCCCAGTTTAACTGCACTCAAACATGGGACCACCCAGTCTGCCAGCTGCTGCCTCGCTGGGTCTGCCAGCTGCCATCTTGCTGCAAGTCCTCTCTGCCTGGCTGCCCCTCCTACTGGTCTGGATGAATGTTTCTTTTAACTCCTTCATTGTTGGACTTCCATACAGTTCAGTTTTCTGTCATTTCTGGTTGTTTTTTGGTTTTGAATTTGTCATTGTCCTTTTGGTTGTATAAGGAGGCACAATGTGTCTACCTATACCTCCATCATGGCCAAAAGTTCTCTAGCCTTCAAAGTTTTTGTTGAGAAATCAGCTGACAGTCTTATGGGAACTCCCTTGTAGGTAACTAACTGCTTTTCTCTTTCTGCCCTTCAGATTCTCTGTGTTTAACCTTTTGCATTTTAATTATGATATGTCTTGGTGTGGGCCTTTTGGGGTTCATCTTGTTTGAGCCTTTCTGTGCTTCCTGGATTTGGATGTCTATTACCTTCACCAAGGTAGGGAAGTTTTCTGTCATTATTTTTCCAGATTGGTTTCCAATTTCTACCTCCCTCCTTCCCCTTCCCGGACCCCTATGGTATAAATGTTGATACACTTGAAGTTGTCCCAGAGGCTTCTTACTCTATCCTCACTTCTTTGGATGCTTTTTTCTTCTTGCTATTCTACTTTGGTATTTTTTGTTTCATCATGTTCCAAAATGCTGATTTTATACTCACCTTCATCTATTCCACTGTTGATTCCTTGTAAATTATTCTTCACTTCAGTTAGCGTATTCTTCATTTCTGACTCATCTTTTTTTATGGTTTTTATATCTGTTTTTATGCTGTTGAAGTTCTCACTAAGTTCATCTACTCTTCCCCCAAGTTCATTGAACATCCTTATAAGCAGTGTTTTGAACTCTGCATCAGGTACATTCCTTGTCTCCATTTTGTTCTTTTTCTGGAGTTTTGGTGTGTTCTTTCATTTGGGACATATGTCTTTCATTTTTTTAAATTCTCATTTGAGCATATACTTATTGATTTTAGAAAGAACAGGATGAGAGAGTCGGTGAGAGGAGAGGAGAGGAAAGGAGAGGAGAGGAGAGAGAAACACCGATATCAGAAAGAAACATCGATTGGTCACCTCCTATATACTCCCCAACCGGGATCAAACTCACAGACTGGGAATGTGCCCTTGACTGGATCAAATCTGAAACCTTCTGGTGCACAGGATGGTGCTCCAACCAACCAAGTCCCCTTGCCCAGGCTGTTTCTTTCATGTTTAATTAAAGAAATAATCCCACTAAGATAATCTTACAAACTATTGCCATCCAGTAACATTTTTTTTTCTGAAGTACTAGGAGCAACCGTTGAAACTTGTTTGTATTTTTTAGTTAATTAGATCATTTTTCCTGGTTTTGTGTTTCTTCTCTTGGCATGTATTTCATTTTTGAAAAAATTCTTCTTGGATAGTGATACAGTAATTGTGATTTTTAAAAATTATTAGTTAAGCAGTATTTGGAAACTCAAGCTTCCTGAAAGCTTATCTTTAGCAAGTTAAGTGAGTCAGGCATGCTTTTTTATTTCTTTTGTTTCTTGTTTTGTTCTGTCAGTGGATGCTGAATGCACCATGCATCTTCAGCTCCTTAAACTACCCTGAGGGACCTCTCAGGTGTTCTGTTTTGCCTTGGTGGTACATTGTGTGCACCCTATTGTTATTGCCAGACAGCTTGTTGCTTTATCCAGAATGAGAGTGTTGCATTTTATTTTTTCCTGTGCTGCAGTATCATATTAGAAAGGTTTGGTCCCTGTGATTCATCTGAAAGCATGAGTATTTTGGATTTTACGACACTGAGGTATTAGGATTAGGACTAGGTTTATGTAGTTCTGTCTTGCACACACCTGATCAGGTAGTTCCTTCATTCAGCAGACTTGCTTTGGGTGCTTCCTGTGTACAAGAGCCCATAGGCGGTGGGGCAGGGAAGAGCCTGGTGCGGGCTTTATGCTTATGAAGTTGGACCATGCAGCACAGGTCTGACTGGGCACTTTGCATAGCTACACAGTGTGGCCTTGAGTGCAGCTAATGAAACAAGTTTGGATTATAAATGGAGAGGCACAGTAACCTGAGTGTGCTTTGGAAAGTAAATAGGTACAAGGTTTTCTCTTTTTTTGCTCTTTAAATCTGTTTTAAAGTGAGAACTGATATTTATTTATCTGCAAAATATATCTTAAAGATCTGGCTAGTTTAATTAATCAGTTTTGTCATTTCTAAGCTACATGTTTATTGTAAACATGTACACATGCAATTATGGTAGACATGTAAACATGTTACATGTTGTTATGTAAACATTTTATTTTCATAAGTTCTTCATTTTTTAAAGGAATTG